AAATATTATTATAATTCATTTATAAAAAAATTTAAAAAATCAATCTTTTATCATTTTAAATCTCAATTGCAAACTCAAAACACTAACCCGATTGATATAAATTGATTTGCATTTAGAGTTAACGATAATTGCTTTGAGACTTGAGAAATAGTTAGAGTTTAGTAATGTTAAATGGTTCGAGTTTGGGGTGGTGTTTGTAAAACTACTGCAGTACCCAACTGTGGTGTTTTGAAAAACTCTAACCTTTTGATATTATAATGTTTTTAAGGGTGTAATCGTGGTTTATTTTTAGTTGAAGTATTTTTTATTTAAAAATATATTAAAATAATATTATATATATATTTTTAAAATTATTTTTAATATTAGTGTATTAAAATGATCTAAAAAACTAAAAACAAATTCAAATAAATAAAAAAATAAAATTTTTAAATTCATTTAAAAACACTTTTAAAATATATCCCTCATATTTTTTTAAAAATTTATAGAATGTGCCAATTTGCCGAAACTCTCTCACAAAAATAATGAATCAACGTCAAGTGTAAACCTTATTCTTCCAAGTTAAGGATGCAGGTTTGACTCCCGCTACCCAAATTCATTCGATCTCTAAAGAGAATTACTAATCCTTAGCTTTATGAAAAGTCCTTCATTAGTGGTTGTGAATGTCTGATTTTTCTCAATTTTTTTAACTTCCTGGCAAAACACCCAAGCTTCTTAATTTTTTCTTGTTTTCATCTCCCCAGTGTAGCACAAACTTTGAGTTTTCATGGTGAATTTATAAACTGCATAGATATATTTTTAGATTTAATTAGTTCGAGTATTAGGTCTAGGTTTATTAATTGAGTATAAAACTAACAAGTTCATATAATAGCATCCCACGATCCCACCCTCGAAAGATTAATCTTTTCTTCGCTTTCCAGTACCAAGAGTTTTCTGCAGCCTACAAGGGGTAGGATCACAAGTTCTAGGTTCTTGGTTAAAATATTTCTTCTTTTCCAGACGAGACTGCAAAAGTAAATACACGCCTTGCTGGAAGGTTTGTGAACTTTCAATTGTTGCTTTCTTTATTCACTAATTTCTAACAACGAACTATAATAATGCCTATAACACAGTCTAAAGCTGGTTACGCCAATCGTTTGCTGCCATAATAAGACCAACTTATTGAGCAGCCCTGTTTCTCTGCATTTGCTAGCTCGTAAATCCATGCAAAGGACGATGTATGAGACACTAAAATGCCTGATGACAATTTCATCAGTTGGAACGAAGACATTCACATTTCGACCGCATCAAGTAACAATGCTTGCAGTTTGAATTGTGCTAGAGTGCCAAAAGCATGCACTCCTGAGACCAGAGAAATGGCAAGCTTCGTGGTCTGCCATTCACATGAGGATTTACTTAATATCTTGCATGCGCAGTCTTATGATATGAAATTAAAAATGCTATAGTGGCTAAAGTTGCCTTCTCAACATGCACCTAACTGCATAAGGCAAAGCCTACTTTATCTCAAGCTAGTGGCATGCTACACTATTAACATATCCACTTAAAAAAACTTCATGAAATTATTTGTTGTTCTCTATCAAGAAGATAAGTCTACACTAATATATTTGAAAAGGTTTGACGATGAGATGGTCATGTGAAAAAGTTGTTTGAGCTGATATAATTAGAGATCTTAATAAGAGGGGTAAGGAAACTTATCTTATAGTGGAAACTTTATGCCTTACAAGATAAAAATTTGCTCAATATGAAACTAGGAATGAAAAATCATATACAGATGAAAGAGGTTGGTGTTTTATAATATGGACTTTTTTTATTTTACAAGGAAGACTAATATGAAGGACCTTCCAAACAAAATTATTTTTCCAGTAAAAAAGATAACTCGAGGAAGAATTATAAGTAAATAACCTATAGGCATTTGTTGTATCACAAGGATTTATTACTCCTTTAAATCAAAATGAGATAAATTATTTAAAGTTATTAGGGCAATTAAGGCAAACACCTAAACCTCTAAAACACGCTCCTCTTAAGAATCTCTCACATGCTTAGAACTTATATCACCTCAAGATGCATTATCTTTAATGGGAAGGAGTTTATTTTTAAAATAAAGATATTATCTTTGACATAATATCTATAGATCTTTAGTGAGGCTCCTAGACCTCATGAAATCTACAAGGATTGATCTTGGATCTCTCATCTCTCTAATATACTCTCAGAATGACATGACTCTTTAATAGGGATTTCAGCTCTCACAAAGTCTTTACGGATTGATTTTGGACTTACCCCTCTTTAGTGAAGTCTTGGATTGACACAACTTATCAATGAGGATCTTGAGCCTTATTATCTCTCACTCTTAAGTAAGACCACTCTTCAACAAGAGACTCTCATTCCTCGTGACAATATCAAAGAGGCCATATATATATCTGATGTGACTTCTTTTCAGTAAAGGACTTTCGAGCTTTATGATATTTGCTAGGGGGTTATATACCTCTCACACTCCAATGCGATCACTATTTAGTAAGGGTTTTTCACATCTTAGACCATCACTATAGAGGTTTTCCTCACTTTAATACAACCACTCTCTAGTAAAAGGTTCTCAAAACTCATGTCATTACAAAGAGGGTCACAGGCCTCCTGCTCTTTAATGATATACTTCACTAGTGGTGAGATATTAAGCCACACCATCACTAAAAAGACTATAGACTTTCCTCTATAGTGTGATATCTCTTTCGTACGGGTTTTTAAATCTCAAACCATCGATTGAGAGGTTATAAACCTCCCTTTCATGTGTGATATAAAATCAATATGAAGTTTCTAAGCCTCTTACTATCATAGGGAGCGACCCTTAAGGGGTTATTTAGATTCATCCTTATCCCTCTTTCTAAGCCTTTTATAATTTTTTTAAGTATAGATTTACCCTCATTAGGTTTACTTAGCCAATTAGAAAGTCTTTCAAGTGTAAGTTTCTTCTTCTTGGGTTCCTCAACCTTTTAAAATATTTTTTAACTATAGGTTCACTCTTAATGAGTTATCTCAGTCTCTTAAAATATCTTATAAATATAGACTTGTCTTTCTTTAGTTCCCCTAATCATTTATAAATTCTTCTCAGTATACGCTCACCCTTCCTCGATTTTCTCGACTATTTAGAAATTTTTCTAAATACAAGCTCTTTGTCTTTGAGACTTTTTTTACCTCTAAGAAAAATTCTCTATGTATGAGTTCCTTCTTGATCTTTAGAAATTTTTTTAAACATGATGCACATCCCTGCACAAGAGCTTTCCAGTAACTCACCCCAAAGTTTCCTCCCATCTTCTTATATGAAGCAAACTCGATAAACTCATCATGTCAGACATTTTTACAAGTTTTTACATATAAATACCACAAAAGCTTAAGAGGTTACTAATAAACCCAAATATAAAAAGTCTAAACCCCTTTAAAAGCCTAAATACTTAAAAAACATAGGCTCATACGATATGTCTGGGCCTAACTACCAACAGGCTCATCCTTTAAAATGAGCCCACAATATTAGGCTTAATCCTTTGAACAAGCTTAAAAAAAACAAACTCATACGGCATTTGGGCCTTACAACTACAGGTCCAAGCAACACTAGGTGTTGGGTGCACGTCGAGCCCACCTCAAGCATCCCTAACTCTAAAAGTTAGGCATGCTATGCTGTATCTTATGTGTTGGGCATTGCAAGTCCGACCAGGGTGTTAAGTATACACCTTTGTATCCTTATAGGCTCGAGAATGCACCTGCACCTACCATGCTTTAGCCTAAATAGCACCCCCGAGCCTTTTTTTCACCCCAAACAAGCTCAAGTAACTCACTTGAGCACAACATTATCTTAATAAGATGACTATTTAGCTTTTTTCTCCACAAAATAACAATACTTATTAGCTATAAATATTTTATAAATTCAATAATTTCAAGGTTCATAATCTTTTTATTCTTAGTTTTTTTAGCATACATAGTTTTAAAGTCTGAATCTCTAAAATATTATTGTATTTTCTATTTTTACAATGTTATACACTTAAATATCTGAAAGTTCTCACATCCATCAAAAAGAGCTTTTATAAGTATTAGCTGTCAATTATCTCAGCTTACCAAACACCAGCTACTAACTACCTTTATTTATTAATTACCAACCCCTTTAGCTTTTTACATGAAACTATCATATACTTTAATTAAAGAGAACAAATTAGATTACTAAAACTAAATAATCAACCTATTATTTAACAACAAAAACATTATTATTAAGCAACTTGAATGTTGGAACAACGTCACTCCTAAAACTTTGAGAGTTTCTCATATATAAGAGTATTACATCCATTAAAAGAAATTTTTAAATGTATTAATTGTTAATTATCTCCGCTTACCAAATACTATTTACTAGCTACCTTGATTTACTGGTTATCAACCCCTTAAGCTTTTTACATGAAACTAATAGACATCTTAATCAAAAATAAATAAATTAAACTACTGAAACTAAATAATCAATCTATTACTCAACAACAGAAAACTCATTATTAAACAGATTGAATTTTAAAACATTGTCGCTCCCGTAACTCTTAAATTTATTTCACTAAAAAAAGCTATAAAGTACAACTGTTAAGCTAGTCAAATCAAATTTTCATGGAGAAGTAAAAAAAAGGGGGTGATATACACTTGAATATTGATCAAACAATTATATAAGAAAATATCATTTTATGTATCTATATTAGAAATCATAATCGTTTCTGCTCCTCTCGATAACCAAAAGGTCTTTCTTTCCTATGATCTTGTTTATAATTTGAGTATCTTTAAATTGAAATAGAATGATATAATCTCATATAACTGGTTGATTTACAATCTGTCGTGTGAGTAAGCTCACGATTTTTGGATAGCGATATTTGATAAGGTAGCTTAATCATGGAAGCTTTAATTAACTGCTCCAAAAAAAAAAAATCAACACATTCCTATTTAAACCAACCCTGCTGGCCTTTATCCACACATTCCTCAATAGCGTCTCTCCTTCATACATACAGACCTTTTCTCTTTTCCTCTCATCTTTCTGTTTTTCTGGCAATGGAATTGGTTCCCTCTTCTGTCGACTCCAGCTGGTGGATGTTTGCACTCCCTGCAATGTTACAAACCAAAAACTTGTCAAACCCTCTAATCTTGCTCTTTGTCTTGACATCTTTCTTGGTCATTACCTTACTAACTTCGGCTTTCTCAACTGGTGGCCTAGCATGGAAAAATGGCAGGAACCATAAGGGTAGCGTCTCCATCCCTGGTCCAAGAGGCGTACCCTTCTTTGGAAGCCTATTCAGCTTAAGCCGCGGCTTGGCCCATCGCACCCTCTCTTGCATGGCGTCGAGCCAAGCCGCTACTCAGCTCATGGCTTTCAGCTTAGGCTCCACACCAGCCATTGTGACATCGGACCCTCAAATTGCTCGTGAAATCTTGACCTCTCCTCACTTCGCTGACCGTCCCATCAAGCTATCGGCTAAAAGCCTCATGTTTAGCCGAGCCATTGGTTTTGCGCCAAATGGGCCTTATTGGCGTCTCATGAGAAGAATTGCATCAACTCACTTATTCGCACCAAGGCGCATCGCGGCTCATGAGCCATGGCGCCAGCTTGATTGTGCTACAATGTTGAGCGGCATTTATGATGATCAATCCCTCCATGGAGTTGTTTATTTGCGTAAACATCTCCGAAATGCTTCTCTTAATAACATTATGGGTACTGTTTTTGGCAAAAGATATGAGTTAATGCAATTTAATGAGGAGGCTAAAGAATTGCAAGAACTTGTTGTTGAAGGGTTTGAACTCTTGGGTGCTTTTAATTGGTCTGATTATCTGCCGTGGCTGAGTTACTTTTATGACCCTTTTCGCATCAAAGAACGTTGTTGTCAACTTGTTCCACGAGTCAAGAAACTGGTTAAGCAAATCATTGAAGAGCATAGAATTAAGAAGCCAAAAAATGTCTTTGATAATGCTGATTTCGTAGATGTTTTGCTTTCTTTGGAGGGTGAGGAGAAACTTGAAGAGGATGATATGGTTGCTGTTTTATGGGTTAGTATGTCTGGACTAATTCTTCTTTAATTTTTAATGCTGCTGCTTTTTTCAAGCGTTCTGTGCTTATTGTGTTATCGGTTTACTTCGTAATGTGCAGGAAATGATATTTCGTGGCACCGATACTACTGCACTTTTGGCCGAGTGGGTCATGGCAGAGTTGGTTTTGAACCCGGAGATTCAAGCCAAACTTAGCAAGGAGCTGAAATTGGTTGTTGGAAGCAGGAGTGTCACGGATGCTGACGTAGCTGAATTACCATACCTTCAGGCTGTGATCAAGGAAACCCTACGTGTACATCCTCCTGGGCCCCTCCTCTCATGGGCACGGTTGTCCACTTCAGATGTACACCTCAGCAATGGCATGGTGGTCCCCGTCAACACAACTGCAATGGTCAACATGTGGGCCATAACCCATGACCCAAGAGTATGGGAGGATGCCTTGGTGTTTAAGCCAGAAAGATTCATGGAGAGTCACGGTGGTGCTGACGTGGATGTGAGAGGAGGTGACCTCAGGCTTGCACCATTTGGGGCTGGACGTAGGGTTTGTCCTGGTAAGAACCTAGGGCTCGTGACAGTGAGCCTTTGGGTGGCTAAGTTGGTGCACCATTTCGAGTGGGTTCAGGACACGCATAACCCAGTTGACCTAAGTGAAATGCTGAAACTTTCTTGTGAAATGAAGAACCCTCTCTCTGCTGTGGCTATTCCAAGAAATTAACGGTGTTCGACTTTTCTAGGGTTTGGGTTTGATCTGAGGACTTGAATTTAAAATTTCCAGTACGTACTTTAGTGTGTGCTTCTCGTTTGCTAAAGTATTATGATCAGATATAATTCTAAATTAAGAATGACGGTAATTGAGGGAGGGATCATGTGTTTATGACTGTACGTATATCTATGAAATCGGGTTGTTAGTACGTTAAAGTTAAAGTGTCCCTGAGATGACATTTATTGTTGTTATACGTGTTGTTTGTAACTCTGTCATCCTTTATAATAGTTACTCTATGTTTTATTATTATGTCTTTGGTTGTTGGTTAATTAGTTAATTTGGTCATGAGTTCCACTTTCTACTTCTCAAGTGTATACGTGTCACGTGTGCTTGTGTAAATAGGAAAAGAAAAGGAGAATATTTGTGTTTGTTTGCAGGAGAGTATTTATGTATATGTTTCAAAGGAGTTTCTTGCACGCTTGCCTAAACACCGAACCTATTTTTTTCTTTTCAATTTTTACCATATTTTTTTGTTTCTTTTAGTCCTTTGATTTCTATTTCCCTTTCTACTGAACCCTTCTGAAGTCTAATTACTGTTAATTTTAAATTAAGGTTGATATTTAGAAATCATAACATTATAGTACTCTTTTTGGGACATTTCAAAAGAATCAATCAAATCATACATACATATATGTTAATATTACATGGGAATATTATAATTAAATTCTTAAATATATAAGACATGCTTTTAAGTTTAATACTGAGAAAGGTCAAATTATTTATGATATCTGTATGTTTTATTTTAAACAAACGTACATGAGAGTATAAAAATTTAATTTTCATAATGTATGTGTGTCATTTATATGTAAAAAAATAAAGAAAAAAATAGTTAACAAGCATGTTTTAACAAGCTTTAAACCTATTGAATTTAACTGAGAATTTTAAAATTGCATTTAGATTATTTTTTTCCTGAAGGCACCGTGCATCTACTGTCAAAATGCTAATTAAACAAAGTTATGGATTATATGTCCAAAATGCATTAGAGCACCTCCAATCCAGGTCTTAAATAGAAGGCTAAAAATAAAAAAAAGTTATATTATAGCTTTTATTTTACTTGTTTTTATATTCAAGAGGAAAGCTAAACAAAAAGTTATTTTAGGATTTTTTAATACAAAAATACTATTCCTACACATCTTAAAAAATTCTAAAACACATTAATTACATTGTTTTTTTTATTTGTTTTTTTCTTCTTTGATATCTTTTTAAAAATCTATATTTTTTTTAGTTTGTTTTTAATAAAATTATTCTAATTTCATGATCAATACTATGGGTTTGATAAATTCACCAAGATTGACTCGAGTTTTTTAATTAAATTATTTTTAATTTTATCATTTAATATTAGATTGCTTAAGAATCATTCGGGTTATTTTTAGATCTTTTAAGTCAACCAGGTCATATTAAATTATTAAAATAGTTGTATATCAGGTATATTAAAATACAAATAGCTTTTCTAAATGATTTTTTACCATTCATCGAAGTGCATGTAAACAAAAAAACACCTATATTTACACTATTTAAAACACATATTACAAATTTGGGTTTTTAAATAGCATTTTCATCAAAGATCTCTTCGGCCTATTTGGAATTGGGATAGTAGTTATAGTTTAAGGTGTTTTTCACTTAAAAATATATTAAGATGATATTTTTTTAGTTTTTAAAAATTATTTTTAATATAACAAACTATCCAAAAACACTAAAAAAAATTAATTTTAAATAAAAAAATTAAAATTTTAAAAATACAGGATGAATGACATTTTCAAATGGCCGTAGCAACGCACAGTATGCTTTCCAATGATGACATTATAAATTTGCGGTCCATTAATTCCAAAATATTATCAAACTCTCCAACATCAAGCCCAGCAGGCTTTTCGAACAAAATATGCATCTTCTGAGCTGCCGCCCATCCGATGTGGAGGGTGGTCGGGAGAGATGGAGAGGTAGAGATATATGACACCGGCGGGGTTGACATCAGCCTTTGCAACATTCAAACTTTATCCATTACCCATGAGATAATATAACTATCCAGAAAAATTTGACTAGAAGAGTTAGGTTGGTATCTATAACTTCGAGTGAAATTGTCGCCCCTGTGCAACACCTCTTTTAGATAATGGAGACTTAGTTTTTAACTAATAATTAATGATAAACAGCTTGAATTAATAAAAAAGTATAGATGGAGTAGCCAAAACATTGTGAAGCCGGACTAAAATTATCATTCATTGTTGTAATGTATTACCCTTTTTCTCAGGGGGGCAAAAAAAAAGCTCGTCAGTCAAGGGTTATTTGGCCCTTTCCGATAACTCATCAGTAATCAAGAATTACATTAAGGGTACATTTGATTTTTTCATGTTTTTAAGAATAATAAAATAAATTAATTATTTTTTAAATTAAAAAATTTAAATTATTAGTGAAAGACATTTTAGTATTTTTATTCTTTAAAAATACAGTAAAAAGACATTTTTCGTCGCTGAATCAAGAAATAATAAAGCATGAGTCTAAGGCTTTTTATTCTTTCACACATGTTTTTTGGTTAATTCTTTAACCATCAATATCAATTTGATTCTTTTAGATTAATTAATTAGTATTTAAATATAAAAAATTATTGGCAAGCATTTTACACCCTCGTATAATTTAAACACTATAAACACTATATGGTAAGACGTCTTATAATAACAAAAAATATATTGTTTTATGATGTTATTAGAAATATCATTATGTTTTTTTAAGTAAATTAGATATTAGTAAAGATTGGCTGATTTATTGTTTGTTTTTTCTTTTTCCCTCAAAAATTACAAGTCGATTCTCTTTTAATTTTGGTGTTTTAATTTCAATTTTTTTTCTTTTGATTTCTATATTGTTTTCTTTGATTTTAGTATAAAATTTTAATTTATTTTCAATTTAGTTCTTCAATTCTAATTTATTATTTTTTTTAATTTGATTTTTATTATTTCAATTTCTACTTTTTTCTCTTTTGCTTCTTTATAAAACTTTTACTAGTTTTCAATTTTATCATTCAATCTAAGTATAATGTATTTTTTTCTAATTTGATTTTTATTATTTTTAATTTTTATTATTATAGTTATTTTTCTTTTCAATTTAACTCCTAATAAAAAAATTGTGATTACCCTTTAGTTTATTTTCTATTTTATTTTTACCCTTATTATTTTAATTATCATTTTTATTTTAAATCTTTTATGTATTTAATTTTTTTTCTAATTTCATCTAAAACACATAAAAAATACCTATATATTTATTTATTACTACAAAAGAAAATTATCCGGCCGTGTCATACATCTTTTTTTTTTTCAATAATGAAAAAAACACTCACAGCAGACGTGCAATTGAGAGAGATAAATCGCATCACAAACCACGAAGAAAAAACACATTATAACAAACCACAATAAAATCGTGACCTTGGATAACAAACAAACAAGACGTTCCTCCCATTTGGCACTCTCCTAACCAGAATATAAAGAAAACCTATACATGGATAACAAAAGAGACGTTACCTGCCCGTGCTCTCCCTCTCCCACCTATTCACACTCTTCAACCAGAAACTGCAAAAGAAAATGTTACTATATTCTTCGCCGTCTCTTAATTCCTTTCTCTTTAACTCGAATTCCGACTCCAATTTCTTATCGAAAAATCACAAATCGCTAAAATCCGTTCCTCAAACACTGCGAGTTGTTAACAACAACGATGTGGACGCGTTTACGGAGAAGTCCGGTTACTTGTTCAAGCTTAGTAGCAGCGAAGCAGATTCTTTAAATGATTACGATCTTAAAAAGATCGCTGCGATTTATAAGAGAAAACCGTTCATTTTGCTTCGCAGATTGTTTCAAATCGGTTCCACTTTTGGCAGGTGGTTGGCGGCTCGTTACATTGATAGTATTACTGAGAAATCTGATCTGATGTTCAAGGTTTTTGATTAAATCATACTTATTCTTATATTTATTCTAATTTTATTATATTGCGTGCTTATTTTTTATTTTATTTATTTTTGCTGCTGCTGTTGTTGCTGGTGGCTTGCAGATTAGAGCTGCAGAGCTTCGACAAATTTTGCTTGAACTTGGACCTGTGTGGTTTCTGCGCTTCTTCTTCTATTTTTTCCTCTTATTAAAATTTATGTTACGATTATTTTCTAAAAAAATAAGTTGTGTTTGTTATTTCTGTGTTCAGGCTTACATAAAAATTGCTCAGGCTGTTTCGTCTCGACCTGTAAGTTGTTTTAATTCATACATACTAATTAGTTATGATATTATTTTTTTCAATACAGTTGAAGAAAAAGAAAAGGCAGAAAAGTTATCAATTGGCAAGAATTTGAATTAGCATAAATTTGCTGTAGGATTTGATACCACCATCATATCTGGATGAACTATCACTGTTGCAAGATAGAATAGCTCCATTTTCTACAGAAGTTGCTTTAAATACAGTAGAACAGGAACTTGGATCACCAATAGACATGATTTTCTCTGAGATTTCGCCGGAGCCTACAGCTGCCGCATCCCTTGGACAGGTTTGTGATTTATTGTACGGTGTGGGGATTTTTTTTTTTTTTGCAACTGTTAGTTTACTGAAAATGTTCACTACTATTGCTCTTATCTCTCTCTCTCTGTCATTGTGGTGCACAAACAAAGGTCTACCAAGCAAGGCTTCGTAGTAATGGACAAGTTGTTGCTGTTAAGGTTCAGAGGCCAGGCGTACAAGCTGCTATTTCCCTAGACATTCTAATATTGCATTTTGTGGCAGGAGTGGTAAAGAAAGCAGGAAGATTTAATTCTGATCTTCAGGTCCTACTTTTTTTCATGCTAAAAGAGGATAAAGTTTTGTATTCAATATGTCCTGTTGAAATACTGGTCTTTTTATGAATTCATCTGCAAGTGACTAAGGAATGTGAGTTTGATTTGCAGGCAGTTGTTGATGAGTGGGCATCGAGTCTTTTTCGAGTATGTTTGGATCTCTTTATGCGTAGTTGTGAAGAACTCGTACTTCTGACCGCATATTTTGTTTTGATTTCCTTTTACAATGCTGTTTGATTATTGGGAAAGCTATACATTTCCTTTGTTAACAAAACTTGCATTATTTATATCTCAATTATACTTTTGCTTGAGGAATATTCTTAGAGATTCATATTGAATACAGGCAAATCACATTGAATGCAGGAGATGGACTATATTAAAGAAGCAAAAAATGGACTGAAGTTTAGGTAAGCGAACAATAACAATAAAATCTGGAATACATTTGTATATTTTTGTTTTCTTTATTTTTGTTGTCTAAAATGCTCCATCACATCTAGTTACACACTAACAACGATTATGCTATATGCTTAAACAGAAAGCTGTATGGTGGTATAGAAGATGTCGTGGTTCCATATATGTATTTGGAGAACACAACTCGTAGGGTCCTTGTAATGGAATGGGTTGAGGTACTTAACATGTTCGTTGCTGTCATTTGTTCATCTTTATGAATCTCATGCCAAACTCTAGGAAGAAGGGTGTCAAATCACCAAATAACGATGTAGCATTGTGTTTGCTTTGCAATCAAGAGATGGATTCAATTGGAATTAACTTTAACATATTGTTATTTCCCTCATTCCTTAAATGGAATGAAGTAATGAAAATTTTAACCCAGTAGTTGTTGCAATTAGGGGTCTCATTCCTATACAACTCCTTATAATTTTGTTTCCAGTAAACTCCTCCAAAAGATCAAGTTACCAGTAGAACTCTTTCTTTTTTAAGATGCTCTATATACCATCATGTATTTTTTACATGCAAGAGATTTTCTCATGTTTCTTCTTCTCCTTTTCTTTTGTGCTCTTTGTAGGGGAAAAAGTTGTCTGAAGTGAAGGATCTTTACTTGGTTGAGGTGATATATAAGAAACTGAGAGCAGCCTGTCTTTCTTGAACAATTCATCTGTATGACATTTATTATTTGCCTAGTGGCTGAGTTGAATGACTTTCCTTTGCTGACTAGGTGGGAGTTTACTGCTCGTTTAATCAGCTTCTGGAGCACGGTTTCTATCATGCCTCTGGAGCACGGTTTCTATCATGCCGATCCACATCCTGGAAACCTTCTTCGAACATACAATGGGAAATTAGCTTATATTGGTATTGTTTTAAAGTTGAAATGCTATGGCATGTGACTTCAGCCTTTTTCTCTTATTAATCAAGGATAAAATTTCACGAAAACCTTCAATCTGAACCTCATCCTGGCTACATTATGCGAAATTCTGAACTATATATCATCTTGCCTCTTGGTCAGCACTGTCTGTTCTTATTATCATTTGTTTTTGTTGGATATTTGTTCAAACTTCTATGCCCAATCATTTTGCTTGCATTCCTGGAACTGCACGGCTTAAAATTAACTTTCAGTATATCTTGCAACCAGATTTTGGTATGATGGGTGAATTTAAACAAGAATTCCGTGATGGATTTATTGAAGCTTGTCTTCATCTTGTAAACCGTGATTTTGATGCGCTGGCCAAGGATTTTGTCACACTTGGGTATTTTTTCCATCTCCTTTCTGCCAACAGCTAATGAGCTTGTTCTCATTGTTGTTGTTATTTACAAGTTTGAATTACGCATGCTAGCAGATTTCTTCCGCAAACTTCAGATAAGGAGGCGGTTACAAAAGCTTTAACAGGTACCTTTTATTATGTCTGCATTGGCCTTGGTTTCCTAGTAATTCCTATTATTATGTCTCCAAAACAAATGTCTACAAAAGCTTTAAATTGTCCTGACATCATTTATAATGTTTGTGTATAGATGTTTTCCAAAAGGCTGTTGCTAAAGGAGTCAGCAATATAAGTTTTGGAGACCTTTTGGGAAATTTGGGAGCTACCATGTGAGCATCTTGAGTGCACCTATGTTTGCAGGATATATGCTTTATGAATGTTAAACAGTGAGTGGACCATGTTATTGAGAGAAACACTAATGTGGTTCAACATATATTTTATCGGTTTCTTTTCTTTTCCTTTTTTTCCTTAGAAACCAATACTTTGGCTGGGAATTGTTAAATAAATGTACTCAGGAAGTTGGTTATTTTGCAATTGCCAAATTAAAATGCTTAATCTGGCAAATTAAAGAAAGGAAGAAAATGCATACCCTATAAGGCATTATGATGCTAAGAGTAGACATCACAAAATGGTTTTTGTAGCATTTATACATGCTACCTTTGTTGTCGATATGCTGCCACCATGTTACAACTTTACATGTATTTTTTCTCCTTGTAGTTGGATTTCTTGAGATTTCCGAGTTTATGTAATGCCGCATGCCTCTGATGATTGTTTATTTCACTTGTTTACTCATTGGATTTCTTGAGATTTCCAAGTTTATGTAATGCTGCGTGCCTCTGATGATTGTTTATTTCACTTGTTTACTCATCTAGACCTGAATTGAATTGATAAATTCTCTACAAATTTTGTTTGTAAAATCTCAACAATGATACAGTGACTGAACCAGAAACATAAAATCGTATCTGTATGTTACGTATATTGATAACTATATTATTTTAAGTTTTCTTTGAGTTTGAATTTTTTTTTTTTTTTATTCACAGGTACAAGCTCAAATTTCAAATTCCTTCATATTTTTCTCTTGTTATCCGGAGGTAGTCATGCTTTTCTTTGCTACTTTAACTGACATATTTCACTGTGCATTATTTTCCATTGTTCAAGATTGTTGATTTCTCTTTTTGTTTAATATCTATATTGCCTACTTAAAATCTTTGATCTTTTTTGGCCTTTAGTCTTGCAGTTTTGGAAGGCATTGCTATCAGTTTTAATCCAAATTACAAAGTTTTGGGTAGCACATATCCGTGGATTGCTAGAAAAGTACTGACGGATAGCTCACCAAAGTTGAGGTCATCTTTGCAAGCTCTTCTTTATGAGGTGGCTGTAATAAGTAATTTATATTTTTGGATTTGCAAGTTTTATCCTGTGTTTTATTTCATTCTTTTCCTTTATCAAGCTGTTGGTGTATATACTTGATATTGAAATATATTAATTTCTGCTTCTAACCATTTTCTTTGCAGAAAGGTGTTTTCAGAATTGATCGTCTAGAGTTGCTGCTTTCAGAGGTGAGATTATCCATTTTTCTCTTCACCTCATTAATAACATCACAGGAACTTTTTCTAGGTTGATTTGAAATATAACTACCAAGTTGAGAAGTTTAGATTTGAACCCCTTCAACTGTCAAGACTTTTTGCGATGGGATTCCAGCCATTGTTTTACCATTGCGGTTATAATACAAATTGAAAATGGAGGTGTCCAAATTAAAGCGGTTCATTTGAATGAGGGTTGTAATCCAAATTGACCCATAGCTAACATGATGTAAGTTGATATGTACCATTAACTTCATTCCGCTCGCTTTAGTTGTATTCAGCATGATTTTCATTGCCAAATGGGCACTGGTTTTGCAGAAGAAAAATGTTGTCATCTCACTCTCTGTTACAACAAAGCTATTAATGGTTTCAGGTTGTAATACTCCCTATTTGTCCTACCTTGGTTTCGTGGCCTTGGGAAATTTTTTTCAACAAATTGGCTGCTGTTTATTATGCTATTATAATAGATCACTGAAACTCAGAATTTTCTTTGGTGGCTACCAGATCCCTCGTTTCAGCAATCACGCTTTGGGAACTTAGCATTTTTTGTTTTATTTAATATTTTAATCTCGTTGGTGATAGTAAATGTGCATATCCAGCTAAACATCACAATAAATCTTTTTGTATCTTTAATCTCTCTCTTCTGATATTTTATTTTCATAAAATTAATGTGCTCATAATTTTAAACAAATTCTGGCAGTCCCTTCGCGCCAGAACAGAGAAGGCCTTGGTTAAAAGCCAATTAGAGGACAATGACTCCAAAGTGGCTGTCAAGCAAATCCTTTCCTTCATGTTAACAGAGAAGGTCTCTCTCCCTCACCCCCCCCCCCCCCCCCCCCAAACCGAGGTGTTTAATTTTAATGTATTTTAAATCTTTGATTGGATGTATTGGTAGGGTGCCTTTGTGAGGGAAATACTCCTTCAAGAAATTGCCAAGGCAAGTGTTCTGGTTTTGTTCATGTCATGTCTATGGTTAGTGACTGTGAGTCGTAGTTGTCAAAATTATCTGCAATAATAAATGTTATGTTCTATTGCTCTCTTTGCTTTTCTAGATTTTAAATTGCTTTTTTTAAAAATGTGTGCAGGGTTTGGATGCATTTGGGCTAGCAACTCTTGATTATTTAACTTATATGGCTAGCACAAGCATTCCTTTTCCTTTTGCTGCTTCCTCTTCCTCTTCAATGACTAAAGAAGACATGATGAACTTGAGAACCTTCCGCCGGCTTATGTTACTCCTTTCAGGTTTCCAAAAGAATGGAGGCTCACCTGTGGTAAGATCTTGCGCTTATTTTGTTAGAAAGGGTTCGGTACACTCATTTTCTGAACAAGGGAAAGTAAGAAATGTGCCTAAGCTATTCTTTTGGATGTGGTTTTGTTAAGTCCAACCATCCGCCATAAATCAAAATTTTTAGAATAGAATAGTATATGAATTATTGGATGCAAATCCTCCTCTTATTATGAATGCTCACTTGAATGCATATATGTATTTGATTGGAAGGCTATTTAAAATTGATGTTTGACTTGTTATCACTAAAAACACTCTTTTCATAGTCATCCACCACCAAGCTCAAGGAAATTACATCTTCTGCATTGTGACTCATGAGTGTTCTGCAGGAAACTGTAGAACCTGCTTCGTGATTTAATCTGACTGGGTACATTGTGGCTTTTTAGATGTGTTTAAAGTAGGTGATATTGCCATGTAGGGGTAGATTAGCTATATAAAAGGATAGTGAAATTCTTTGAATGGAGCTTTTACTTGCATTTGATGCTAAAATTAACTAGAAGACGACACCCATTCTTCCACTATTGTCTCTCATCTCTCTTGTAAGGATATTTTGAAGGAAGAAAAAAGAAGAAGTTCAATGTATCAACTATTTCTTCTTCTTTTTCTGAGAAAACATGTCGATGTTGAATATCACGCTTTCAATGTGTGAAAGTAGCGTCTTCCACAGGGCAATAATTTTAACATTTCTATTTTGGCTTATAATCTATTCTACCTTGTGCTGTAGCATATGTTACTATCTTGTAGGAAGTGGAAAGGACCGTCCCATCCAAGAATCAAAACATGCACTCGGAGGAAGCATCACTTATCTTTTATCAATTTCCATCAGTTGAGGTGATTCTGCCCATCCTTTCTGTTATCCCTGAGGTAAGCTCTGATCTATTCATACATAGATACAACGTGCATGCCCAAAGACGCGAAGGCAAATATTAATAATGGCAGACACGTAAATTACCACACACAATCACTGAGAATTGTTTGAAATTGGGTTATACTTTAATAAGATTATCGAGATTAAATTGTTAGACCTGAAACAATTTGTTTCTCGCATAGATGAGGGCTTATTAGAGAAGACTTTCTTTTGAAATCCAAAGTTATATGCCAGTTATATTGTGGCATCTGAAGGTTTTTTTTTGGGATAAAAGAAATTAAATATCTGTTATACTGACTAAACTTGTTAAAAACACGTGGCAGCTTCCACCAGAATTGCAACAGCAGTTACTTCTCTTGCCGGCTGATCTGGCTGGAAGGTTGATTTCCCGTGTCGCTGCCAGGACCATCAGAAGGGTGTTTCTTTGATTTCAATTTAATCAAGGGAAAGCGTGAGGAGATATCCGTATGTTTTTCTTGGCTCTGACTACGTCCACAGAAAATTAAACCACACAAAAAAAACTTACGAGATAGAAGATGGCTGATATTCTTTTTTTTTTTTTTTATTCTTGAAAACATTGTTCCTGTCAGATCCTGCCTGCTATTGACTCACACACTACCTGAAAATTGGGTAAAATTTTAGCACTGTTGCATTCTTTTTATAAAGGAGAAAAAAGTCAGAAAATGTTCTAAAATCTTTGAATCTGAATCGGAAAGCCAAATCTAGTTACACACGTGAGATTTTGAAATGCAGGAACCCTCCATGTAAAAAGGCATTCTGTACAGTTTTTTTTTTTTTTTTTCTTGGAATTCACCAGTTCGTTTCGTTATATTTCCAAGTCCGATGGTGAAAGCTTGACGTTGGTGTTGCCTTGACATCTAAGTGTGACAACAGAATATAGAGTAATACTTAATTTTTTGAATAGCTGGAATCCAAGCAAAATGAAGCAGATGAAAAATACACATGCATCAATGTTTTTGAAAAAAAAAATATTTATTTTTCTTCTTTGTTTTAAACTATTTTTTATATATTTTTAAATTATTTGAATATACTAATTTTAAAAATAATTTTTTAAAATAAAAATATATATTATTTTGATATTTTTTAAATAAAAAATATTTTAAAATGTAGCCATAATAACTCGGATTTGTAGTTAAGATTAGTAATTCCTATTTATAATATTTCCCTTTTCTTTTATTTTTTTGAAATTTATTAAGCGGAAACCTTAAAAACCTAGAATCTAAGGAAACACAGATCTTCGCTCCCCACCATTCCCGTCCAAACCTCTGGTTTTTACAGTAAGAGAAGGATAAGAGTCTAGACATATCTTCGATATCCTCTTCCGCTTGTGAACAGTAGACGTAGCTTCTTCAATCTCCTCGGATTAGGAGATGAGAATGTATATAAATATACACCCACACCCACACCCACACTGGATATTTTGACTCACAGGCTGTAATGTTTTTTTAATAAAAAAAACCAGTTAAAACAGGTTATTTTAATATTTGTTTCACATAAAAATCTTAGAATATAAATAATTTTTTTATCAAAGCATCAAATGAAATAAATTGATAACCATTAATATAAATAAGCAAAATAAAAAAGTTTTTAACAATAATTAAAATAGAAACCAGAAAAAATAAGAAATTAATGTAGATTAAAATATTTAATCTTGTAAAATAAGATATTTACTTATTTATACCAATCAAATTTTGTTTATTAAAATCAATAAAAGATAATACAAATAGAAATAGAAACATATAAAATTGAGTAAATAAAATAATAAATATTATGCAAGATTGAATATATCAAAAATATTATTTCAAAATAAGTATTTTTTTTTATAAAATAAAGCTTATATGTAGAAAAAATCAATACAAAATTAAACATAGTACAAAATATTTATAAAAAAAAAACTATTCAAAAAAAGCCTGGAAATCTCATTAACTAGGTTATGATAGTGAGATAAATTGATAAAAAAAAATTGAAGACAACTACAAAGCCAATATTTTAAAAAAACAAATATAGAATGATGGAACTATAAAAGAAAATAAAAAAATCCTAAACCATATCAACTCTTAAAACTTATGATTTGTGTCATTAGATTAGATGCATGACAAATAAAAAAACCTCAATTTCGAACAAACCAAACGCTAAATAATAAAACTAGAGGAAAATCTATAAAATAAAAAATTATAATTAAAAGAATAAGGTTGAGAATTAAAATTTTAGAAAAAATTAGGGGGCATAAAAAAACTAACATTAGAGTGTTAAATTGAAAAAAAAAACTTTAACAAAAGATAAAAGAAATCAAAAAAATAAGGATTAAATTGAAAAAAAATATAACATAAACTTTGATTTAAGGACAAAATTGAAAACAATAAAATTTTAACAAAAGAGCTAGAGAAATAAATTAGAAATCAAAAAAATAAAAATAAAAATAAAAATGATAATACATGACAAATTGCAATTTAATGATGAAATTGAAATGATCAAAAAAAATTTTAAAAGGATCAAAGACTAAAATATGCAATAAAAACTATAATGATCAAGATTGAGAAACTAATAAAAAAAAACCGATGCACACTTTTACTAGTGGGGGAGAGAGAGAAACAAGGAAAAAAAATACAATTATCAACAATAAACCATTCATCAAATACCACCACATATAATACCATAAAAAAAATAATTAAAACGGTGTTTTTTATAACATAATAAGATAACATATTTTGCTATAGAAATACACCACAAGCAACATCCCAAAAACATGAATGTACTAATACAGCATCATTTAAGCTCCAGGAGATATGCTTTTTAATTTAAAAATTAATTAATAGTGCAAAACATCTAAAACACCTCTAGTTATTCCTGCATTTAACAAAAAAAACTCATGTTAAAAGACAAAAACATCACTAGCTCTTTCTTTATTTTTTTTTCCCAATTGAAAGGGCAGAAAGACTCTTTCATGATCTTGAAGAAATGCAAAGACATGAATATCCTTTGCTAGCAGTTCAATTTGTTTGAGCTTGAGGTCAAATAAGTAATTATATTTTTTAAAAAAGGAAAAAGATAATAATAACCCCTGATAATATTTTAATGATCAATCGATGTCGTTGAAAAAGCTGAAATTACCCCCTGAAAGAGCACCCGAAAATCTCTTGGTAGGACAAAATTGATGTGAGGCTGCCTTGATGCGCAATATAATATTTTAATGAAAGGCACAGTAAAACAGCAACGTGTTTCCTATCTTTGTTAATACATGGAGAGAGGATATATTTGGCATTAGGTGAAAAGTCCAAGGGTATTTTTTGTTTTCTAAAAAATTAACATGGAAAGGTTCAAGAAGCGCCTTGCCAAGATTTTGGAAAAAAAACAAAAGAATAAGAAGATGTTTTCCGACGTTAGGCATTAACCATAGCCACACCGACACGCAGGCATGCCAAAGAGAGAGGGAATCGAAGTGCAAAATAATGCGACAAAACCATCACACTCATTGCACTGTGCAAAACCAGAAAGGTGAACCAAGCAAAGCAACCGACAAAAGGAGGACAGTAAATAACATGAAGCAGCCATCACACTCTTAAATGCCAAGCATGATCTCCTCAATCAAGCACCGGCGCATTCATCTTCAATGCAAGAAAACACACAAGCTGGAAACAGGAAAACTTCTCAACCAAAGAACATAACACGAGATCATGAGCAATATTCGACAAACAATCTCGAGTCATCATAGAAACACACAATGTCGATGAACAAACAGGAAAAGAAAAGGGCAAACACCGTCGATCCTAAGCAACAATGTGGAAAATTAACCATGAGAATTACTGGTAAAAAAAAATGCCCAGGTTGAGCACAAAAGAGCCTGCCCGATGGGAAACAACAACAATAGAAAAGGGCTTATATAAGAGGCTTCTAGCAATATTACACCCTAATTTTGATGAAATATATACAACAAAAAAAACATACAATAAAACAATGAACGTAGCTGGAAAGGGCCACAAGGACCCACGAGGACCAAACACGGAAACAAACCCAGAGAACCAAACCGATAAAGAAGCCGTATAAGAAAACAAACCGATAAAAATTGAAAATCGATGCCAATCCACATAAAGCTTTTGAGGGCCAGGGATGAGCCAACAAAGATCAGGAAAACGAAGAGATGAGAGGCGAGATGTTGAATTCTACTGCTTTAGTACACAGTGTCATGCCTCACAGGTCACAGTGAAAGTCTAGTTTCAATTCGTTTTTCAAGAAACTAAAGTAGTTCTCTATTTTTTAACCTTCGTTTGTTGTCATTAAATTCTAACCCTAGCAAACTTGAAGTCTTTGCTCACTAGGCATGATAACAAGCATAAGAAAAAAATCTGTATTTTTTCCATTTCCTTTTGGAGCAATTGGAGGAGGAATTCAGATGTCAAATCACTGGATATTGAACTATTATGCCGTGTTGGTGTAAATATACAATAAGATAGATACATAAAAGGCTTTGTTTCACCAATAATCCATGGAACGATTATCCGAACTGCAAACCCAAAGCAACTAACTGCCAGTGGATATTAGCTCTCACTGTCTTACAGGAGAATTTCATCAACACCTCTGTAGTAAACAACGGACAAATTAAAACGAACAAAATTCAGGCAGATCGAGAGGAAAAATGTGAGTTGAACGGCTTCTTTTTGCCTCTTAAATACTTCTCGATTTGTTCAAGCACCTGCCAAAATTTAAGTTGATCAGATTAGAAAAAACGTCATCGGAAATTTATGTTTCTACAGCCTTAAAGAGTTAGAGCACAAATAGAACCTCAATTGCTATTATGGTTGGCGTGAGATGGGAGACATCCTCTTCCAAATCATCAGCAAGCTCTGTAAACAAGAATGACATGTAGACCCTTTTTCCCCCCCCTCAAACTCAATCGAATAGAAGATTTAACGAAAGAGAAATGAAAAAATGCGCGCGCGCTAAATTCTTGAATGCCTTCATTCTATTAAAAATTAATCCCGAGATTTTTTTTATTTGAGATATTCACATCAAATCTCCAGGAAATGTTGAAGGGAAGATACCCATGTTCTATGACGTTCAACATGTTTTTGAAGCTTGGCCAAAAGATGACATATAATGCAGTTCCCCCGCACTCTACCAAGGATAGGAATCCCATGCCTATTCTACGGACTCGATTGGTAGAAAAAATTTGCATGTAATTGCAGCACAAACATAAGAGCAAGATTATTTGGAACTTTGCTTTCCATGGAATAAACAGGTGCAACTTTGTCTATAACACCAAGCTATAAAGCACGGCTGATTTATGAAAGAAAAGGAGCCATTCAGCATGTAAATGGAGCACATACTTGAAAGCGAAACAGTAACATTAGCTCTGGAATACTTCTCTACTCGCTTTTCCAGAAGAGTAGACAATCTCATCAAAGCCTGTGAGGATGTTAAAGAGGGATGTGTTAGAACTAACAATTAATTATATCTTAAATACACTCAATCCTACCAACTACTCGCTCTAGAATTGGTGGAAGGATGTTCAGAATGGCAGAAACTACACCACCTTTGTGTAGGGATCCCCGGAATCGAAGTCCAAAAGAGGACGAGAATCAGTTCCTACAGCAGCAATTCTCCTTGCAAGGGCATCCAGAGGTACATCTAAAAAGACAGTGATCCCTTTCCTCATGTATTCCCTTAAAATCCAGGAAACAGTGGATTGTTAATTCAAATGAGAGTATAACGTTTTATGATTAGAGACCAAAGCAAAGCTTATATCGATGATTCCAGCATACCAATTGATTGGATGAACTACTGCACCGCCGCCTGTAGCAACAACTTGCTGAGACTTTGAAGACAACTCTTGCAACGCCTTACTCTGTGAAAAAACAGTGCAAGCAGTTACTTTATTATCCAATGAATATACTATAAAAAAATTCCGATTGCACTTGATATTGAAGTTATCAATGACGAAGAAAATGCTATCAGGACATACTAAGGTATTATCCAGAAATGCATTTGTGAAAAATAAAAATATTAGAACAGAACTTTTGAACCAATTACATAAACCAAAATTTGGAAGAAGTTTTTTGATGCTTGATAGTAGTTTATCAAAAATTTTCAAGTATACAGTTTTCCTCTTCTAAGCTTAAGAAATACCGATCTTAGTTCCTACAAAAACCAACGCTGTAATGCAGCCGATTTAAGGACTTTTCACTAATAAAATTAGTAATTTAAAAAAAAACTATAAATAAAAGAAAATAATTTTAAATTATAAAAACAAGAATATTTATTCTTGTTTTTTGGATGATTTATGTAAACTTTTAGAATATAAAAAGTTATGAATATTTTAACTGAATGATTCAAAGAAAATTATTTATAATCCTTAAACTTTATTATCTTTAGAAAAAGAAAAAAATCTAAAAGTTTTTTATTTTTAATGGCATTAATTATAGATAAATATCATTTATATATTATTAATAAATAATAAATATCCCTTACAAGTCATTAATGAGATAATAAGTATGGAAAAACTCAAACCTTTTACACACATAGATGTAGAGAAATCATTATCTTTGACATAAATATTTGACATAAATAATTGATGAAATGAATCTAAAAATAGTACATGGTCTTGGATTTCTAAGATCAATTGGACCTAACATATGGAAAAACTCATATAAAAAAGGCATAACCTTGGATTTCTAAAACCAATTGAACCTAACAAATGGGAAAACTCATGTAAAAAAGGCATGGTTGTTCATCAAGTTCATAACACCTTAGATTTAGTTAAAAGTGAAATTTAAATATATGATGTTCGATGATTTATCAAATCATATTTCTTTAAATTTAACAAATAATTAAGCTTAAATATATTATACTTGAAATATTATAAAATATACATTACTTTAAGTTTAACTGATAACTAAACCTAATTATATTATAGATGTCAAATTCATATTATATCAAGTTTAATTAATAGTTGAATTAAGTATGTCAATTTTGTTACAGAATACACATTTCAATAATGAATGCTAATTTACTGCAAACAACTCAATTTCAGTTTCAGCAGCATTTCATAATTTTACTATAGACAACTTAATTTTAGTAGTGAATCATAAATTTGCTGATATCATTTGACATTGTGTTTAAAAAGTGTTTTCAAAAAAATTTAATTTTTTTTTGTTTTGAATTAGTATATTTTTTAAGTTTTTAAATTATTTTTATATATTAATCTCAAAAATTATTTTTAAAAAATAAAAAAAATATTATTAATATACTTTTCTAAATAAAAACTATTTTAAAAAATAATTATAATCACCCTCCCCAGCAGACACGAGTCCTCACTTATTATACTCAAGTTGTTTTGAGCTCTTGTAAACTACAAAAACATGGAGTAAAACCAATACGTTCACATCAATAACGACTTGATGATAACCCAGCTTTCATTTCCTTTTCGATATTGACAATCCCTTTACCAGCAAGAATTTTTTTTAAGGGGAAAAGGTAAGCAGATGATTTGTCAGTAAAAATGAGTTGATGTTAAAAATATATCAATATTTAGCATTATGGGCAGATGCATTTTTTAAAAAGTTTTGATTTTTTTAATTTTATATTTTTAAATTATTTTAATATAATAATATTAAAAAATAATTTTTTTAAACAATGATTAATTTAATATATTTTTAAATAAAAAATACTTTAAAAATTCACTGTAATCCCAATCAGCAGATACTCGTGTGTCAAGAATATCCCGAGTCTCAAAATTTTGCCGATTCCCCTTATAACCCTCCCCCTGCATGGTTACTGAGCGAGGCAACCAGAAGCACAATGCAGAGGAGATGATAAGGACATTGTGTACATGCAAACAAACCTCATTGTCTCTGAAGACACTCTCACCATACTGCTGAAATATTTGAGCCACTGAGATTTCTCCAGCAGCTTGTTCTACATAGGTGTCACTGGAAGACCAGCAAGAACTTATAAATGCTTAGAAAACAAGAATGGTAGAAGTACAAAGTGCCTATCTAGTAAAATCTATTTTCTTCATGATGCCTGGCAAACCCAATGCGAACAGCTTATACTGGCAATTCACAAAGTAATAACCCAGTCATGAGAGTCCGAGCTAGATTTACTCGAGGGAAATTAATGTAGATATGGCAGAGGTAGTCGAGGAACAAACCTATCTACAAAAGCATAACCAAGAGCTTCCGACAAAACCTTGCCGACGGTTGTTTTTCCGCATCCCATCATTCCTGCGTTTACACGCTATATTGAGTTAAAAAGGAAAATGAAAAGGGGCTGTCTCCCGGCCCCGGAAAGGATTTCGAATTTAGAGAGGGAGCTGACCAGTCAGAAATATACAGCAGCTACTTAAGCATGGGGCAAGCTCTTTCGCCTTTTTCTGCAATAATACAGCAATCGGATCATACAAATTCGAACAAGTCTTAAGTCAGTCAGCTCAATGTCTAGCTAGGTCTCAAAGTTAGATACCATCTACTGCTGCCTATATATAGAATTCCTAAATCATCATTTCGACAACATAAACTATTTAATTTGTGAAGCTCCATGCATGCACAGGCTCAGAGAACAATATTCCTTACCTTCAACAACCTTTCATCGAAAAATGCATAAAGATCTCCTGATTCCCTTCTAGGAGCTACAAAACACGCAGGGTCACGAAGAAAAGTCATAAAAGATAGCTTAATCTGGTATATTTTACAGACATGAGAATAACATTTATGGAACTAATCGACAAACAAAGAAAGTACTTCTACACAACACAGAACATAGCTAAAAAAAATTCCACATTCTCAAATACTCCAATCTCTTCAGTGAAATACAACTCAAGCTATGCCACTGTAGAATTAAATCATGTTGTCTATATATGCACTGAAAATATGTGAAGTAAGTTAGAATGCTACTGTCATAGTTAATCATCTTCTTGCCATGCAGCATTGTATGAGTATTAGCGGAAGACGGCATAATCTGTAAGAAATAATGTAACTGGCGCAAAGTTGCAGTTCTTTGGGCTACATCCTCGTCGAGCATTGGTACTACTGTTGTTCAGCATCATTGATTCATTGTGTCTTGCAATGGAAAACGACAATCACGTGAACACCACAAATAAAAAAGTTTTATGGCCACCTGACCAATATCTCTCTACACTTTTTTGTTTTTTTGATTTACATGGGATGTTTAGGCTAATTTGCTAACTTGCATATATCTTTAATAACTTGTATATATCTCATGCTTCATTAAATATCTTATAAACCTAATAGATATATAAAACATTGCAGAAGTAAAGGCATACACATTAGAATCTAAGAACAGCAAAAATAAAAATAAAAAAACCTCTTGTTATTATCAGATCAAGACCCTCGCTGTACTCTTGTTTGCATGAGTGTTTGCCTTACAATCTATTTTTTAAGGCTATTAAGATTTAATTATGGCAAATCACGTAGTAATTAAGGATCTTTTTCTTTCAATTAAGCAACTATCACTTAATTACTTTAATTTTATGTGCAGTATTTTGTGACATGATATCCTCTCTTTAGTTTTATAGTTTTTATTTTGTATGTAACTATTCTTTAGACTAGATACATTTGTAATTAATTATCATTTCTTGTATAAATATGTGTTCTCGTATAGGTTTATTTAGAATATTTTTTAAAATTACTATACAATCCACTATCAAACCCTTAGAACCTTCTTGTCTATGTGCTCACGTCATGTTTCTCAAAAACATTGCATTTTTTTGCTTTAAATCATTTTTTTAATTGATTTTGGATCATTTTAATGTTTTAATAGTAAAATTAATTTTTCAAAAAAATATATCATTTTAATATATTTTCAAGTAAAACACATTTTAAAAAACAACCATTACTAAAATATCAAATATTATAAATATGTTTATTTGAGTAATGTGCACTTTTCAAAAAAAATCAATTTTTTTTTGCTGCAAATAAAATTTTTCTAATATATTTTTATTATTTAAATATATTAATATCAAAAACAAATATTAAAAAATAACCTCAGAATCCAATGACTGCAACCACATAATTCTATTTCCCCCCCGCTAATTCTCTAATCGTCTGCTTTCCGAGTAGAGAACCGTAAAGTTGGCCCATTACTTGCCTCCGTACCGGAGAGATGGGAGACTATCCGGAGGGAAGAGAAGTAGACTGTTTCGTTCGTTAGCGAGAGCAGCCACATGAGATGTCTTGCCGGCTGTGTGGTCAAATTGAAAATTAAAATTACAATTTTATAAAATAAAATAAAATAAGAAATGGTTAAAAAAGAACTATGTGGTCAAATTGAAAAGGATGGTACTGAATACTCTAGGGGCCTATTGAAATTGACGGTTGCATGTGAATTATGTGAAGCACAAAGGTGCACGAGGGCTAATTTGAGAGGGGGGAAGGCACGACAGCATTGAGCCTCAGTTATTGAATTGCTGGTAATTATTTTGGTGGGGAAATGCGCGCGTGAATGTACCCTTGTGTTTTTAGTGGGCTATAACTAGGAAAATGCACAAAACATAACCTTAAATGCATGCAATTCCCTGAAAAGCAACACTGTGCATCTGAAATCCTAGTGATACTGTGCTCACCATTGCTGCAAATCTCAAGGTAGCCTTTTTTCCATTTTTCTCGTGGATAGGGAAATGTAGAATGGGATCTTTACTGTAATTGTGGGCTGGTGAACCGGGAACATAAGCTTCGAGGGCTCGAGGACGAAGCTAAGAGAGAAGAGGGCTGAAGCCTGCAGTTCCTGTAGCTGTTGAGGTTCTTGGTTCAAGGTAGATTGGAGCGAGGGTTGCAAAACCCCTTAAATGGCGTGGTATTTCAGATAATAACTAAAATCAATCATAACACAGAAGATCATATGGAAATATTCGGATTAATAAAAAAACCAAATCAACTTTGGTCATGTTTGGAATGGAAGTAAAACAATTGCGCGAGTTTTCAATGCAAACCCTAAGCATAGAGATTTATTTTAACACCATGAGAAACAACAACGTTACACAAAATTTCTTTTCCTCCTTTTCCCACTGATTCTTTCACATAAGCTAATCACTGTTACATGGATGCTATAATGCTCTTGCATTTCACATTTCAGATCCAAAACTACACCTTACGAGGAACAAATAATTTTACTAGCGTCGAGAGATTGATGAATCAATAGCAAGCCTTTTCCTTCCAAATGATACAGATGAAGCCTGAACTAATTAGTAATAATAAATGTAATGGAAACTAGCCCAGGTGTGTGATTCAGCCTGTTATGATGGCTGCATCTGATCTCGCCGAAGTGCCTGTTGGAGCTGAATAACTTGCTGTTGCTGATCAGGTGGCAATGAACTCAACTGCTCTGGTGTGAGGTTCAGCACTTGCTGCAGTAAGGCAGACTCTATGTCCGCTGGAAGCTGCAATGGAGAAGGGATATCATAACATGACTAAAAACCATTTGAACCTAAAGTGTGGAATATACAAGGTAAAAAACAGCAAGAGATAAATTGTATTAAATATAGACAGCAGAATGCATAAAAAGATGCGCCATTATCAAGAGTGCTGCTCTGTTTTTGCATCAGAATTTTTAAAACAACAAGTGCATGCTATTTGTTAGATTTCAATATCTGTTAACTTCTTTTTTATAAAATATTTGGTCAGCCATTAATATTTGATTATAGATCGGATCGAAGATAGCCAAATGATTGCATCTAATATGCATTTGATCTGTTGGACGGACCAATTTTAATCTTTATTCAGAAAAGAATTTTCAGCCAGCTTTAAACAATTCATGTTACCTCAGAATATATACATTGAGCAACATGACAAGGGATGAGTTAATGCAAACTGGCAAGTTAAAAGAGGTGATCTCTTCAGATCATTAGGGAGAACACACCTGAGGAACTTGTTTCCCAGAATGCTGCAACTCTTCTGGCCTGGGAAGTGGATTTGGAGGAACCGAATTGACTGCAGGCGCTTGGGATGGTCCAGATCCAGTGGCACTAAACATATTAGAACCTCCCATAGGGACAGACATGCTCCTTCCATCATCTAATTTTAACACCTTTGAAGGGCGATTGATTGGTTCTTTAGAATCATGAGCTGTGCTTGTTTGCATGTTCAAATATGCATTACTTCTGAGAGTAGACCTATCAGCATTTGCTGCATCTGAAATGCCCGAAGATACTGGAAGGCCAGACTGCTACCATAATGTATGTTAGTTCACAATAAAAATAACACCAATAAACATGCAAAGGAGGTGTATGTGTAAGCATGCTCACGCACAGAAATGTGAAGACTGACTCTAGCCAGACTTTGCTACATGATTTTCCACACAAGTAAAAAGAAGTTTACCGGGAAATTCAACAAGGTGGCAGACAATACACTAAATATGTGAGGCTCCATACAACATTGCTTGTTCAATTGAAACCATTTACCTCCAAAATTGTGCTATATTTCCACATACAAGAAATGTCTGGGCAAAAAGGAGAAAAAGAACGAAGCATTTCTAGGCACTGAATTAACATGTAAGTGCTCTTTTACCTTTCACCTCTCCTAATATTTAATCTACGGTAAACGTCCAATGTTGGGTGCAGAAGGGGGAAATTTTCATCAAATAAAAGCAGATCTAATGAAATGTAACAGCAAAGCTACTTCATACCAAGTATTCTTCTTTGTTTTTTAACATTAAATCATAATCAGAAGAAGTAATGGCTCGGGTAACTGAACCTGAAAGGAGCCTGTTGCCGGAGGACGAGATAAAAGAGAAGATTGCATAGCTTTATTGGGAAGAACCATCTGAGGGTTGTGCCTAGCACTTGCATTTCCAACCTGTCCTGTGTGTTGTACCAAAGAAGGTTGCATTTGTTGGTTCAGAGGTGAGGAGTTTGCCATCTGAACTGGTGGTCTAACAGAAGGAAGCGCAGCTGGAAGTGGCGCAGACTGCCCTAACAATGTGGCGTGATGAGTAACATGGTTGTTATGATGTGGCATCTGTGTTTGAGCTTGAACAGATGGTTGTGGGGTTGCAGAAAATTGGTTGTGAACCAGAGACTTCTGAGGCTGAACAGATGGTTGTGGACCAGCAGAAAATTGACCTAAGCCCAACTGCATCCTCTGCGCGGTAGGGGGCAACCCAGGAAGATTTGGAACTGCTGGCCGCTGAACCTGTTGAGAATCTTGTAATGAAGATAGAGCAGGTTGACCTGTTGATTGCCGAATATTTGGGAGCTGCAACTGCACAATTCAAAGCATTCTTTAGGAGAAATGAAAGCGACAAACCATAAAATATACTCTGAGGTGCTGAAACAAACCACTTGTGGAGTCACCATTCCAAGCATTATCTGTGCCTGTAAAAATTGTTGGATCATTTGTCAGACTAAGCATGCATCCTCTCTAATTTGTATAATACGTAGCAAGTGTTAGGACAGACCGTATAACTAAGAAATAAGCAGAATAATAGAACCTCTATAATCATGAAAAACCACCACACAACAGATGGGGTACCTGAAAAAGAGCTTTTGACAGCTGTGGTTTTCCAAGTAATAGCTGGTGAGCTGCTTCCCTATTTTGTGTAGCCATTCCCTGTTAGCAGTACGGATTTAGATAATTATCAGTAAACAATGCAATAAAAAAAAATGCATAACCTTTAATCAAGTGAGCACCTTTAGCTCAGACATGATTTCATTCAATTGATTTCTAGACATTTTTGCCAGATGAAGAGTCAGGGGGTCACTTGCTAGTGCTGGCTGACTCTGTAAACCATTTTGATTTGAATGCATGACAGTCTGAGCACCACCTAAAGTTCCCGCCATGACAGTTGCAGCAGTAATGGCTATATGTAGACCAATTGGCTGATGCTGAGCCGGCTCCTCCAGGATTGCTGGACCCCCTACTTGTTTCTGGGGATCTGTGCAAGCATAAAAGGAAAAAAAAATTGAACCAGGATTCTTTGACATGGGAAGAGAAATGAATACATATAGTTATGAGAGCCAAAGAGACTAACCAATATTTGCAGCCAGTCGAGGACCCCCGCGACCCTGCAAGATAAGTAAAGGTCGTCACTAAAGCTTTCACCTTCAAGGGGAAAAAATATGGCATTTGACACAACTGCAACTCAAAGCTGAATAA